CTTATCTCCATTCCGCTTAGTTCTTTTCCTGGAGATTTTTTCTGTTTTTTTATTTGGGACCTGTTTCTTTGACTCCTCATTTTGGCTGCCTCCCTGTGTTTGTTTCTATGTATTACTTAACGAAAGGTATGGGGCTAGTTGAGACCAGGTGCTGCTTGTTTGAAAGAATTTAGGAAAACCTGAAGCAGGATCCAAGACAGGCCAGTCCTATGGTAAAGCAACTGGCAACAGCTTGGGTGGGCCTGAAACTTGGGTGGGGCGGGGCCTCAGGGAATCACCAGGGCCGGGCAACCAGTATGAGCCAGGTTGCTGGGGTCCCACTGGTGTGCTGCTGGGGTACTCTGTTGCCTGGTGGGGCTCAGCAACTGATCAGTCGCTGCTGGGGACGTGTGTCAACTCCCGGTTTGCACTGTTACTGTTGCTGCTGTAGCCAGAGGATGCTCTCATCTCCAATCCTCTGCTGCTGTTGGGGGCTGAGGATGCTCTGCTCCTGGGACTTTGCTGCTGGCGGGGGGTGGGGCTCCACTCCAAATCCACTGCTGCAGTTGTCAGGGTCAGGTCTCTGCTGCCCAAGTCTTGCTGCTGCTTGGGTTTGGGCACCCCTCCTGATCAGCCTGTGCTGATACCACTTGGATGGGTCTCAGCTGCCAATCTGTGCTGCTGTCTGGGGATGGATGTCTGCTTCCGAGCCTCAGCTGCTGTTGGGGGTGGGACTCCACTCCTGTGTGCTGGTTCATGTTGCCACAGTGGGATCTACTGGACCAATGGTGCAGGGTGCTCTGGTGGACTCAGGTCCCTCAGCCCTAGCCGCTTTCTGCTTCCTCCTACCAGAGAAGACCAGGGATCTTAAAAAATGGCAGAGCCGCCTGCCTGGGCAGAGAGAAGCTTGCAGATGAGCCACTTACTGTGGTAGCTGGCTGCTTTCCGTCCATAGCACAGGACCTTCCTCCCTGCGTTTCTGCACTGCTCAGGGTTGGTTGTCCACACTCACACTTTCTGTCATACTTGCTCACTCTCTCACACACTCACACTCACTCTGGTCCTGCCCGCCGCCATCTTCCAAGATACAGACCAATCTATATGACACATTTGTAATTCTAATGCACAGTACACATGTTGTATTTCTTTTGTCTTTCTCTGTACTGATGTGACGCTGACCATGCACAGTACAGTCTCATTGAGTTGGCACCACACTTCCCATGACCTTTGATTAGATGGCTCTGTTCTATTCCCTGTTGTTAGGTACTGACATCTGGTGAGGTTCAACACTTATCTTAGGCTTTACATATCTTGCTTGTGCCCTGGCCAGTTTGGCTCAGCGGTTAGAGCGTCGGCCTGCGGTCCGAAGAGACCCGGGTTCGGTTCCCGCTAAGGGCATGTACTTCGGTTGCAGTTTGTCCCCGGCCCTGGTTGGTCGTGCGGGTGGCAGGCACTCGATGTGTCCCTCCCTTCACGTCGATGTTTCTCTCTCTCTCTCCCTTACTCTCTCTCCCTCCCACTCTATCTGTACAAAAAATGGAAAAATATCCTCGGGTGAGGATAAAAAAAAAAAAAAATACATATCTTGCTTGTGACCTGCCTTCTAACATCTGTGGATTTCTTTTTTTTAATCCTCACCCGAGGATATTTTTCTATTTTATCTTTAGATAGAGTGGGAGGGGGAGGGAGAGAGAGATGTCAATTGGTTGCCTCCTGCATGACTCCAACAAGGGCTGGGACCGAACCGCAGCCGAGGTACATACCCATGACTGGAATTGAACCCACGACTCTTTGGTCCGAGGGCCTACACTCTAACTGCTGAGCCAAACTGAGCAAGGTGACTTGATTTCTTGGTGTGTTTTCTTTTCCACTCGCTTGAGTTTCCTGCAGGTTTAGGATGGGTTATTTCCTCAGGTGGTTGGTGGCTTTTATTTTCTCCTTTGGACTAAAGTTTTAATTTGAATGTCAAAACAGTGCCCTGGCTGGTATGGCTCAGTTGGTTTAGTGTCATCCTGTGCATTGAAGGGTCGCCTATTTGATTCCTGGTCAGGGCACATGCCCAGATTTTGGGTTTGATCCCTGGTTGGGACGCATGTGGGAGGCAACCAATTGATGTTTTTCTTTCACGTCAAAATTTGTCTGTTTGTTTATTTTTTTTATCCTCACCGAGGTCATTTTTGCATTTATCTTCAGATAGAGCAGGAGGGAGAGGGGGAGGAAGAGAGAGAAACATCGATGTGAGAGAAACACACTGATTGGTTGCCATCCACATGACCCCAACCTGGGCCGGGGACAAACTTCAACTGAGGTACGTGCCCTTTGCTTGACCTGAACCCAGGACTCTGGTCTGTGGGCTAATGCTCTAACCGCTGAGCCAAACTGGCCAGGGCACCTCTCTCTCTCTTTAAAAAATTAACCAGAACGTTAAAAAAATTTCAAAATAGTAATTATGTACTTATTTTTACTTTTAAGCTTGGAGTCTTACACTATTAATAGATTTTACAAGTAGTCATTTATATTTTTCTACCTTTTGTTGTTTAATATACAATTATTAACCCATGTGGAATTTCTTTTGGTGTAGGGTTATGCAATAGATCTCTCCCTGCACAGGGAACTTAGTTGTTCTAGCACTGTTGTGTGAATATTTCATTTTTCCATTTATTTACTTAAAAATACACAGTAAGTTCTTATGCAGACTAGGGTTTGTCACCTCACCTGGGCTGTTCCGTCTTAGACCAGGTTACTGAGTTGTCAGTGTGTGGTGACAGTGCTGACGAGGCAGAGTGGCTGTTTGTCCCAAATGTTTTGCCTGGGCATCCTTTGTCTCTCTAATAGGTTTTGCTATAGTTGTTCTAGTTGTTCTTGTGGGGTTTATCTCTAAAATACCCACAATGTTAGCCTAGCTCCGTGTGTGAGCAGATGGGGCTGTGATGCAGTTTCTTGTAAAATGGAAGGAAGTGGAGGATTTAAAGATCTTTGTGTGGAAGGATCCTGTTTCTGTAAATGTGTATGTTTTATCTGTTTTTGTTTTTTGTTTTTGGTACATGCCCCTAGTGGGAACTGAACCTGGGACTCTCTGGTCCGCAGGCCGATGCTCCAACCGCTGAGCCAAACCGGCCAGGGCTGTATGTTTTATCTGTAGGGTAGATCTCTCTTCCATTTTTGCTTATCTGTATCTTTGGTCCTCTCTTGTAAACATATTCCTTTTTAAAAATAGTTTATTGATATTTAGAGAGATGAAGGGAGAGGAGAGAGAGAAACATTGATGTGAGAGGGCAACATCGCAAACCTCCTACTGGGGATAGAGCCTGTAACCCGGGCATGTGCCCTGACCGGGAATCAAACCAGCAGCCCCCTGGTGCACAGGACGACGTGCAACCTGAGCCACACCAGCCAGGCAACATATTCCTTTGTTTAGTGAGAAAATATAAAGTGATGTACTTAAATCTTTCAAAGCAACCTTAGGTTTTTACCTTAATCTGGACACTCACCTTGTGTGACTGAGTGGATGTCCCCTGACATGCAGCACACAGAGAATTGAGCTCCCTGGCCAGGAGCTGTGGTGCAGAGGGGTGGGCAGCCTGGTCGTCTGGTGCTGTGACTAGAGGACTAGAGTCTCTCAGCTCTGGCCTCTCCTGCCCAGGGACTATCCTGTTGTCTGCAGCTTGTGGGCCAAGGTGCAGCTTGGGCTGAGGAGCCAGTTGCTGTGGGTGTGACCCTTATTTGTCCCTGGGATCGTGGGGTTTTAAGCAGGTCAGAGGAAATGGAGATAGGGTCTACATACCACTGACCCAGTTGGATAAGCACCAAGATTGCAGATTGAAGGAAATTCCTGGGCACCTTCCTCAGTGACCATGATCTCCAGGTGTACACCCTGATGGGCAGAAAGACAATCCTGGAGCCTTTGCTCGACTCCTTATTTCCTGAGTTAGAAACTGCAGTTCTGTAACCGAAGGCTGAACTTCTGCACTGTGCACTGGGCTGTGGCTGGACAGGAGATTCCCTTGGACTCTAAGGCTGGGTGTTGGAACCCTGCTGCGGCTCACCCTAGGTCGCTGGTCTGGTGTGAACCTGCGGAGGAGGAAGCGGCCAGTACGTCTTGAAGTAGGGGTTTGCGTCCACGGTGTTAGGGCCGACCCTCCCTCATTGTGTTCTGTGGGGGCTGCCAAGGGGATTGTGAGGTCCCTGCAGTTCATGAGAGCTTTGTGGCCTTCCTCCTGATGTTTTCTGGTCACATGTCCCCTTGGGAGGCCATCCCTGCACCTCTTGGGGGGCTGTACTGTCTCTTACCCTCCTCTTACTTAGCTGTTTCCTTCATGCTCTTTGATTATTTCTTGTGTTTCTGCCCCCACCCCAGGAGGCAGGGGCTCAGGGTTGGGGGGTTGGCATGTGGATGGGCTGGGGAGGAATAGAGTGCCCAGACTTTGGTGTAGAGGCTGGAGGATGGCTGAGACCAGGTGTATAAGAGGATAGGTGAGAGCCAGTACACTTATCTGAGCTTCGGTGGGTGCAGAGCTGAACTGACACCTGGGATGTGGGGCCATGGACACCAGTTGGAGTTCTTCATGGGGAAGAGTGATCCATGGCAGTTGCAGGGAGAGCGATTCGGGGCCTGCTGCTGGGGCAGGCCTTGCATGTTGGGGTATGGCATCCTGGGGAGGAGGGAGGGCTGAGGAGTGGGCATGGGGATGGGACGGGGCAGCCTAGGGGATAAGTAAAGGTGGTCTTGAGGTGAATGGAGCCTTGGGATGAATGGGAGCTCTGGAGGGAGGCGATGGGGGCGGTAGGGACTGCGTGGGACTTCAGAGGTCTTGGTGGGGATTCGCCACCTGAGGAACGTGGTCTGGGCAGCATCTTTGTTTCTTAGGGTATTGTAGGGTTAGAGTAGGGTGTTGTAGGGTGTTTGCTGGAAGGAGGATGTACTCTGTATAGAAGAGGATGGAGGACATGGTGGGTGGGCAGGGTGAATTCTCAGCTGGGCCTGGGTTGAGCCGTCACCTGCCTGTGTTCCCTTTTGGCAGGTTTATCACACGGCCTGATGCCAAACAGAAGATGGCGGATTTCCTGGACTGGAGCCTGTGCACTTTGGCCCGCTCCTCCTTCCAGACCATCGAGGGGGTCATCACCATGGACGGGATGCTGCAGGCCCTGGTAAACACTGCCCCAGGGGTGCCCAAACAGCAGGACAAGTTCTGTTTACTTGACTTCATTCTGAAGTAGTTAGAATACAGGAAGGTACTCAACCCTGACAGAACATGGAGCCAAGGGCCTTTTTTGCGGCTTTGGACTGGACCATAGGATTACTCAGGGCTGGTCCTTGATTGTTAGCAAGGGCTTTCTCCGCTAATGGAGATAGGCTGAGTCCACCTTCAAATCACCGCCAGGGGGCAGTGGTGCCTGAGGAGCTGGGGCCCATGGGCAGGCAGGCAGGGGTGTGTCCTTCTCTGCTTTCTTGCTGCTTACCTGTATAACAGAGTATAATTATTGAAACTGGCTCTAATGGAATCAGGCAGGTGATTTGAAACTTGATTTTGTGCAGATACTCAGGGTGTTTGTAACAACTGGGTTAAACGTAGACCTGACACCCACCCTTTCCTGGCCATCCTGCTTTGCTCATCTGTGGCTTTGCCTTTTCTGAGGAAAGGTGTAGTTTAAGTTCCACAGAAGAGGGGCGGCTGCTCATGCCATGAAGCTCTGGGGCCAGCTTCCCCTCCTGGGGGAGTAAAGAGCCCCTGCAGCTCTCGTGTCCTCTGCTTCCTGCTCTTTAATTGCCATGGGGAGATGTGGTCTTCCCTTGTGTGAGGCTATAAAGGCTGACAGCCCAGTTTCAGGAGAGCAGGGCATTTTGGACTGCATTTAAAGGGAGGTGTTTGAGCTCATGTGTGATGTCATGTACTTGGGTGTTGTTTGTCGGCTGTCATTGGCTGTTGCAGATTCTGATGAAGTGTAGGAGGCTGGGAGGGCTGGTGGAAAATGGGGTGGTGGTGTAATAACCCAGGGCAGTGGGCATGGGATGTAGGAGGCGAGGCTTTGACAGCTGGGCCTGCCACAGGCCCCTCAGGGAAAGCTCTTTCTTCCCTATGCTCTGGCACTGAGGGAGTTGACCACCTGGTGTCTCTCTCAGAAATGTCCTTGGCATCTGTTTCTTGTCTTCAGGAGGAATTGCCATTCAAATGATGGGACTGTTTGAGACATTTAAAAAGGAAACTTGTCCCTGGCTTGTTTGGCTCAGCAGTAGAGTGCTGGCCCGTGGACCAAAGAGTTGCGGGTTTGGTTCTGGTCAAGGGCATGCATTGTGGTTGCAGATTGGTTCCTGGCCCTGTTCGGTGTGGGAGACAACCAATCAGTGTGTTTCTCTTACATCGATGTCTTTTTCTCTCTCTCTCCCTCCCTCCCCTCCGCCCTTCCTCCCTCTCCCCCCCACTCTATCTGAAGATAAAATGGAAAAAAGTATCCTCTGGTGAGGATTTACTTACTTACTTACTTACTTATTTATTTATTTATTTTTTAATCCTTATCCGAGGATATTTTCCCATTTATCTTCAGATAGAGTGGGAAGGGGAGAGAGAGAAACATTAGCGAGAGAGACACATCGACTGGTTGCCTCCTATACGACCCTGACCAGGGCTGGGGACAAACCACAATTGAGGTACGTGCCCTTGACTGGAATGGAAACCGCGACTCATTGGTCCACAGGCTGATGCTTTAACTGCTGAGCCAAACCAGCCAGGGTTCCTCGGGTGAGGATTAAAAAAAAAAAAAGAAACCTGGAAAAATAAGACACTTCCAGAATTTCTGTTGAAGTAATGTTTTTTCATGCTTTCTTCCATTCTATGAGTAAATGTATGTTATATCTCAACTTTAAAGAAACCACTGTAGCCCTGGCCAGTTTGGCTCAGTGGTTAGAGCATTGGCCTGCGGTCCAGAGAGACCTGGGTTTAGTTCCTGCTAAGGGTGCGTACCTCGGTTGCAGTTTGTCCCCAGCCCTGGTTGGGTTGTGTGGGTGGCAGCCACTAGATGTGTCCCTTTCACGTCGATGTTTCTCTCTCTTCCTCTCTCTCCCTTCCACTCTCTCTGAACAAAAAATGGAAAAATGTCCTCAGGTGAGGATTAAAAAAAGAAAAGAAACCACTGTAGCCCTGGCCGGTTTGGCTCAGCGGTTAGAGCTTCGACCTGTGTTCCAGAGAGACTTGGGTTCAGTTTCTACTAAGGACACGTACCTTGGTTGCAGTTTGTCCTTGGCCCTGGTTGGGTTGTGTGGGTGGCAACCACTCGATGTGTCCCTTTCACATCGATGTTTCTCTCTCTCTTTCTCTTCCTCACTCTCCCTCCCACTCTATCTGAACAAAAAAATGGAAAAAATGTCCTTGGGTGAGGATTAAAAAAAAAAAAGAAACTACTGTATAATTCAGTGGGTCTGCTATCACCAGATCTAATTCCAGAATATTCTCATCACCCCTAAAGGAAACCCCACACCCATCTGCAGTCACCCTCCTCCCCAAACCCACCTGTGGATGTTTGTTCTGGACGCCTCACGGAGTTATCTACTGAGACTTTGTGTTTGGCTCCTTTTATTTAGTGTGATGTTCTCAGAGTTTGTTCACGTTGTGCCTGACAGTGCTTTGTTCCTGTTTATGCCCAAATAATAGTCCACTGATGGGTATTCACTGTTGTGGATAGCGCTCATCCGAACTTCGGTGCATGTGCTTTTTGAGCATGTATATTCAGTTTTCTTGGTATGTAACAATAGTTTCCTAAATAAAGAACAAACCCAAAGACAATAATTTAGATATTCTTGTTTACAAGGTCTTTAAATTTTTCTTACCTGCACGTCTGTCATATTGATGAGAAACGGGGTATTCTGAATGCGCAGATACACAGCCTGTCCCCTCAGGCGGCTCTCGTTCCAGCTGTGTGTGGGGGTGGTGCTTAGGATTTTACTGGGATTTTTGGTTTAATTGCTGCAATGGAAGTCAGCCAGGGGGAGGCTACCCTGGGAGGCTGCCGCAGGGAAGGGGTGGAGGCACAGGTCATGGCTTGTGCCCACTGGGCTGTCGTGGCGTGGGTCCTGGGGCAATGCATTTATGTTTTAGGTAATTCTGGTGAAGGAGGGTGGATAGGGTTGAGATGGTTTATTTGAAAGTTTGGGTATAAGTGGACTCCTATTTTTTTGCCATGAGTCACATTGAGAAAGAAGTCTGAGGTCATGGAGGAACCATGGGAGGTCTGACCAAATGTAGCTGGGGCCTCTCAGTCAATCCACTGTAGGCTGCCGGGGAGACTGGCAGACCCACTCGAGCATGGCGCTGTGATCACCCCAGGCACTGGCAGGCAGGGAGCAGGTTCCCTGTGCCAGGCCTGAGCACACAGGCCCCTGTGAGAGTGTCCCGATGGCTTCCTCGTGCCTGGCTTTATTTTTATCTACCTGATCATCAGTGTGGGCTAGATGAAACGAGTGAGCGCAGAACAAGTACTGGGGAAACTAGGATTTGATTTTTATTTCCCTGCAGCATAAGCCTCAGCTCGAGAAGGTCCTAGGTCACTCTGTCCAGCTCTGCAGTTGCTTTGCCCCCAGGTTTCTTTTTCCTCACCCTTTTGATCATCTTGTTGCTGTCTCCAGAGTGTTTGCACATTTTCTGTTTTTTTCTTCTCGAGTGGCAGGCGCCAGCGTTAAACAGCAACACCAAGCCTGCTGCTAGCTGTGGGAGGGGCTGGCATTCTTTCCAGTGGCATTGACCAGCCAGGGGTGGGGAGTGTACTTTATTTGGACTTTTCCAAGCTCCACACTTAGGAGGAGGGAAGTTCTCTTTTTCCTCTTCCTCCTGAGGAATGAAAGGATTTCCCAAGGCTTAAGCCCAGCCTTCTGCCCCCACCCTTGTGTGTGCAAAGGATGAGGAAGGTGCACCCCTCCTCCGGCAGGGCACTGGGCGGTTTGTGGGCCGCACCTCAGCAGTCTAAGAGACGGGTGTCCTGCTGTCAGGGAGAGTGAGCAATTGCCTGACGCAGCAGCCGAGTTCCTAGGAAGTGAACACATGGAACTGCCGGGAAGCAGTGGCCTGCAGGGCCAGACGCTTCCCCTCTGGAAAGCCTAGTTTCTTTCTGGAGTTGTGCGTCTTATTTCCTTTTCTTTATTGAAGGAGCAATTTGGTCTAATTGCTGTTGCCACTGCCTGGGCAGGAGGAAGCTGAGCCGGGCACAGAGCTCTTGGGCGGGTGGAGCGGTTTCGCTGTGAGCTTGTCAGACCTGAACAGCAGAGGCCGGGCGTCCGCTGTGCATGATGAAACTTGCAAGCATGTTATGCTTTAGGACTGCAGCTGGTTCCTTTGATGCACTTGGCATCATTTTTATCCACCTGTTCATTAGTGTGAGTTAGGCGAAACAGGTGAACGCGAAACAAGTACCATCGAAACCAGGGGTTGACTTTTATTTCCCTTGAAGCATATGCCTCTTGCAGTGATGATTTTAACTCCCGTGGGAGGGAAACAAGTGTTTGGCAACCTGACTGCACTGGAAGGCCCCTTTGCTCTAGCTGTTTAAAGCTCCCTTTGGTTCAGTCCCACTCGAAGCATTAGGATTAATGCCAATTGAGGACATTCAAGGGAGGAAAACAAATGCTGAAATTGAGAGTGGTTGTCACTTGACTGCTGTGGCCCTGCTCTCTTAGTGATGGTGCTGCCATCTTGGCTTGCACTGCTGATGGGAGGTCGGTCTGCATTCTGCGAGGGCTGGGAGGTGGATGTGTCTTCCTGGGAGAGGTACTGCTGCTGCCATCCTGCTGCTCCGTGGCTCACACTGCGCACACTGTTCTCATCACCAGCATCTCCTTTCTCTAGGAGTTTTCCATCATTGACAAGAGGCTATCTCTTGTTAAAGGGGAAACAGTTGCAAACAATCACTTATAAAGCCAGGTAAGCAATAGGCTGAAAGCACCTGAAGCTGTCCCTAGAGCTGAGCACCTCGGCCCAGATGGGAACAGCTGCCCCGGTGCCTGGACCTCCCAGCTCCAGGGTCACGGTGGTTCTGCCCTGGACACTTGCAACCCCGAGGAGGCTGATGTAAGTGGGCCAGTCCTGAGCCTGGGGATGCTGTAGCAACACCAGTGACCCCAGGCAGAGGTGAGGGCCTTGCTCCACACCCCATCTGTAGAAGGG